ACTCTGGGCCCCCCACTTGCTTGGCAGGCCCCTCCCACTTGAGCTGCACATTCCCAGCCCTTAGACTTCACTTTTGGGGTAGAGATTGTATCTTATTCCCTAAGCCCCCGGATGGCTGATTGCTTGTCAAAGACTGACTGCTGGCCAAACTACAAAAAGCAGATACAAGAATACAAAAGCAGTGCACACCTGGGCTGTCAGTGCTCCGGCAGTCTAACGCGGAATCCCTCACAGGCCACAGAATGTGTTCCTGTGGGTGCTGCTAGGAGGTCTTCCGGGTCCTGGAAGTCAGAGGGCGGAGTCAATGAGGCGGCCTGACTTCCATTTAAGGAAGTGAGCATAGCCATCTGGAGGAAGTGTGGGTGCCTGGTCCTGGGAAAGCCTTGCTCAGTAGAATCTGGGTATTGGGATCAGCTGGCCGGGGCCTCAGGAGACGCTTTCTTTTCCTCTGGCTCTCCTCTACTCCACTTTCTCCGGTTCCCTCTCTTAACTAGGGTAGCTGGGTCACTGGCTTTTAATGAGAACTCAATTCGCCTGGAGCGGCTTGGGAGTCGCTGCAGCTCTGGGGGGCGGGGCCAGGCGGGGCTGGGACCGTGGGACCCAGGCCTCCACATACACACACAGCCTCCGAGCCACAGTGTGAACAGGGCTTTCAGTTTTGGGCGAGGAGTTTTCTTACCTATTTTTAAAAAGATCGTCTCAGCAGTTGAGTGGGACAGGCAGGGTGCTCTTTGGGGACAACTAGAGAGAGGGGGGGGGGGTTGTGCAAGCCCTTCCTGCCATCAGCCTCTCCAAACTTCCAGCCAGCCTCAGACTCACCCTGCTAAGCCTTGAGCCTCTACCACCCCTCCTCCTCCTCCGCCGCCCCCCTCATCCCCCCTCGAAAGGACAGTCTCCTTCCCAGGACCGGCCCTGAAGGCCTAGCCGGCCCTGAGCTTGGCCATCTCAGAGCTGTCAGATTCTTTCCACTTCCTTCCACGCTCCAGGAGCTGCCTGGGGAAGCTGGCGACTCAGCTTTTTTTTGGAGTGTGGTCTGCTTTTCCCCTTCCTGCAGCTTGTTTGCATAACTTCTCAGAGGGGGTGGGGCTGGGGGGGGGGGTGCCAGGCCAGGTCAGCCAGAGAGCAAGCTTGAATCCTGTCTCCTCCAACTCTGCAGCAATTTCCTCCTGTCCTCTTCCTCCTTTTGTCTTGCAGAAATGATCCTCCTGGAAAATATAAAATCATCCCCTCTCCCTCCCTCCCTCCCTCCCTCCCTCCCTCCCTCCCTCCCTCCCCCTCTCTCTCCCTCTCTCTCCCTCTCTCTCCCTCTCTCTCCCTTCCTCTCCGTTGACCCACAGACCACATCTAGGGTGTCCATGACCCGCCTTGTCAGCACTGGGGTCACTGCACAATGTGGAGAGCCCCGAACATGAGGCCCTTGGTTCTGTCCCCATGCTGACAAAAGCAGAAAGAACAGACCAGATGTGCTTCTAGCTTAAAAGATCCCGAGTCTGTGGGCTTCCCTCCTGTCTACTTGTTTGTCTTTCCATCACGCACACCTCGAGTGTGTTTTGTGCACCCAGAAGAATCATTGTAGAAGTGCGGCAGGGTCGCACCTGACCCGTCCCTGGTCACCAGCCAGGACCGGCTTTGGGCCAGCACACGATGTCTGCTCGGAGCCTGCATCCTCCGGACCGAGAGCTGAGCTGGCCCCCCTGAGCCATGGTGTGTGCCCTTGGAGAGGGGTCCCCTGCGCCACGTGGGACGGTGCAGAGGGCCAGGCCTCCTCCGGCGGGGTCACCCTGGCCTGCGGGCGCTGTGACACGGGCTCGGCTGCAGCTTTTCCGTCTGGGCTCAGCTGGCGCTCTGTCTGGCCCAGTCTCTGTGGGTAAACATTTGTAAGCAGAATGCCACGCTGGGATTTTTGGAAATGTGTCGGTCAGCAATCTTGGTGACCAAACCATTGTCAGATAAGCACACTGCCCCAGACAGTGCTCCTCCCCCAGGATGACTTTAGTGATGTCAGCCTGTGGTTCTGGAAGCTTCCCAATGCCCTTGAGGCGTGTGACTGGCTGTACAGCCATCTTGTGGCAGATCTCGGGCTGGTACTGAGGATGCAGGGTTAACTGGGTGATGGCCTGTGGGTGATGCTGGGAGGGATGTGCTACTCGGGATAAGCAAGGCCGTTGGAAGGGGCGTGGAGCTGGCAGAGCAGGGGGTGGCTGGTGTTGCCTGGAGGAGCTGGCCAGTGCCCAGGGAGGATGAGGTTGGAAGCGCTGGAGCGGCGGGGCGTCCCCTGTACCAGAAGGCCCCGCACTTTGGCTGAGATGAAGTTTGGGGTCTCCAAAAAGCTCCTGCCAAACCAGTGCCCGGAACTTTCCAACAGCAAGGGACGGACAGGCTGGGCCCACACGCTGCCCCTGCGACTCTGGTCAGGGCTGGTTCCACAGAACTGGTCACCCTGGAAACACCAGCGCGTCCCTAGCCTCCGAAGTCCACGGGAGGCATCGGGAAGGGAGGCCTGCCTCCCTCCCATCTCAGCCGCCATCCAAACACTTCCACTTCTCGGCAGGCTCCGGGACCCCAGCGCTCACAAGCTCAGGGGCTTCCCGTCCCAGGCACCTCTACATGCTGGGGCATGTCTCCCCACCCCAACTCCTTACCAGCCACAGTGGGGCTGTTTCTGAGATCAGGTCTAACTTTGGGCTGACTTTGAACCTTGACCCTCCAAATCACCACCTCCCCAAGTAGCTGGGATTATAAGCATGAGCCACCATGCTTGCTGGGCCAGCTGCATCTTCTGGCTCTCTCATTTCATCTTCAGTTTGGCTGAAGAGGGCAGTGTGGAGGCAGCCAGTGTCCCATCAGGGAGGGGTGGAGAATATCACGTGGCCGCTCCTGGCCCTGGAATGTTCTACAGCCACAGCAAGGATCAGACTGCCGACACGCTACTGCACAGTGAACCTTGAACACATCACGCTGCAGGAAAGCGCTCCCTCCCAAAGGCCACGTGCTGTCGATGTCCTTTGTGAGACTTGTGTGTAGCAGACAGCTCCACAGCGACTAGAATGCTCTAGAATTAGATGGTAGTGCTGTACTGTGAGTCCTAGAAGCCATGGAATTGTGGCCTTTACGTGGTGGCTTTGTGCCGTTGACTTTTTTCTCAGCTGAGGAAAAGGATGAGAAGTGAAGATGACCGAGTTTTCTGGGGGAGGTCGAGCAGGCTGAGCTTTGGGAGACCGCCCCCCCCCCCCCCGCCTCTTCTGTCTCCTGCTCTCCCCTCTCCTTCCCCTGCGAGGCCAATATAAGCCTGGGCTGTGTAGTGGGGCCTGGGGCGCCTTGGAAGCGAGGCCTCCAGGCTAGAGAAAGGTTGGGGGGCTGTTGGAGGGGACAGGTTGGCTCCCCATTAGACTGAGGGACTGCTGTCCTCGAGCGTCCATTGAGATGAGGGGGAGGGAGGGCGCTGTGGCCTGCCTGCCCTCAGGTGGGGGCCGTGGGTCTGCTGTTACCATAGGACTCGCTAGGACTGGGAGGGCATGGAATGCCCTGGAAGGGGACTGTAGGAGGGATGGCATCTTGATTAACATACGCACGTGCACATACAGGCCCATCCAGCGCACGCGTGCACACACACCTCTGCGTGTGTCCTCTGATCTTTGGCGTCAGCACAGCTCAGGAACTACTCTGAAGTGTAGACGCCAGGACCCACTCCAGCTGGCTGAACCGGGGTTCTGGGGTATGCCAGGAAGACTCCCCGGGACTCAGTCCACAGAGGCCTGCCAGGCTGGCATCGCTCTGCAGTGCCGATGGGGCCACCGGTTCCCCAGGCCTGACTGCAGGGCTTTGCAAGCCGCTGGTACCTGGTGAGCGACTCCAGTGCTGTCCCCAGAGCCCAGCGTGCACCCCCAGCGGGGCTGCCGTGGCCTTGCAGACTGGGTCCGGCAGTGTAGCGCTCTGGAGAAGCTGAGCACAGTTGGGTCGTTGATTGGCTGATTGATTGATGTGTGATTGGTGGACTTCTGCCTCCCCGCCTTCTCTCTCCATCTTTTCTGGAGACCGGCCTCACCGTGTAGCCCAGCAAACACTCGGTCTTCCTGCCTCGTCTCCTGAGTACAGAGGTTACAGACATATACCACCATGCTCACCACGTTATGCGATTTCCTCAATGAATCACAGAATTCTGTGGGAAAACAAGGGGTCTTTTTTTTTTCTTCCATATATATTTTTTATTGTAAAAATACTGTACGGATGGGTTACAGTTACATGAGTAGGGTAATGAGTACATTTCCTATCAATCATTGTCACCTCTTCCTTTGAGGTGGGAATAGAAATCCATGTAGATGAGAGCTTCTCAGCGGGTGGCTCTGCCCTGGGGACATCGGCAGGTGTCTTTGGGGGCTCCTGACACCCCATGGGTGAGGACAGGAATACAGCTCCATGCCCTCCATGCAGGGCAGGCCTGCCACAGGAAGTGTCCAGCCTCAGACACGCATGCATGCGCACACAGCTAAACACACAGGTACACACATGCCTTGTGATCATCTCAGGGCCACCTTGGGGCGGGGGGTGGGGATTGGAGCCCCTGAGCCCAGGGGCTTGTGGCAGAGATGAAAACGGTGTGTATTGAATCCAGACGTAAATGTAAACCAGTGGAAGGAAAGGCCCAGAACCTCAGAGAAGAGGCTACGGGAGATGATAGCACGGCCTGCCCAGCGGAAGGGGGCAGAAATGCCAGGGGCTTGTGGTCACTCATAGCCAGCTGGCCTTGCTGGACCAGGGCCACCTCCAGGCCCAGGGAGGACACTGCCTGTGTTCCCCTCGGACCCCATGCCCTACCTGGGGCGTGGGCATGGACACACGCATGCACTCACGGATGCACGCACGGATGCGTGGCAGCCTCCTCCCTGCCATCCACACTGGCTGTTCCCAGACTGCACCCTTGTGGCTGTCACGGCTCCTCCCCGGGGACCTGGTCTTGGGCTGTCTTCAGTGAACCCCGCTTTCCCCTTGTTTGGCTTCAGATGACATCCGGTTGTTTGCCTTCGTGCGGTTCACCACCGGGGACGCCATGAGCAAGAGGTCCAAGTTCGCGCTCATCACGTGGATCGGCGAGAACGTGAGCGGGCTGCAGCGTGCCAAAACCGGGACGGACAAGACGCTGGTGAAGGAGGTGGTGCAGGTAGGGGGCGCTCCTGGGCCCTCCTGGGGGGTCAGGCGCTGGTGAAGGAGGTGGTGCAGGTAGGTGGCGCTCCTGGGCGCTCCTGGGGTGGCCCGCCCCAGGGCCGCGGGAGGCGTAGGAGGAGGCTCATGGTCAGAGGCTGGCCCTGGGGGAAAAGAGAGACCTTCCCTGAAAAATAGCCTAAAGCAAGAAAGGGTGGAGGTGATGGCGTAGGTGGTAGAGCCCCTGCCTGGCAAGTGAAAGGCTCTGAGTCCAGATCTCAATACTTGGGGGAAAAACATCGTAGGTTAGTGATGGGGTTATGTGCTAGCCAAAACCTGCAGGGTGACTAGAGGTGATGAAAATGTCCTGAAATCGCCCGTCATGACTGTCCCTGGCGTCTACCTACAAAGCACCAGACGTGAAAAACAAAGCAGCGATGTTCAGTGTAACGCCTGGATTGGAGTCAGAGCAGAGGGTGCTGGGATCCGACGGGACGTGTGCTGCTTCTGGCTTCTATTAAAGCCCAGCTGTGGTGTTGAGGTGTTCACACCAGTGGAAAGGGTGTTCACCCCAGCGGGGAGGGTGTTCACACCAGCGGGGAGGGTGTTCACACCAGCGGGGAGGGTGTTCACCCCAGCGGGGAGGGTGTTCACCCCAGCGGGGAGGGTGTTCACACCAGCGGGGAGGGTGTTCACCCCAGCGGGGAGGGTGTTCACACCAGCGGAGAGGGTGTTCACACCAGTGGAGAGGGTGTTCACCCCAGCGGGGAGGTGTTCACCCCAGCGGGGAGGTGTTCACACCAGTGCAGAGGGTGTTCACCCCAGCGGGGAGGTGTTCACACCAGTGGAGAGGGTGTTCACACCAGCGGGGAGGTGATATGGCGATTGAGTTAATCTCTTGCAACTTCCATGTACATGACAGTCTTCCAGTGAAAACTTAGTATAAAAATTCTTGCCAGACGCCGGTGGCTCATGCCTGTCATCCTAGCTACTCAGGAGGCTGAGATCTGAGGATCACGGTTCAAAGCCAGCCTGGGCAGGAAAGTCTGTGAGACTCTTACCTCCAATAAACCACCAGAAATCCAGAGGTGGCACTGTGGCTCAAGTGGTAGAGCGCTCGCCTTGAGCTGAAGAGCTGAGGGACAGCGCCCAGGCCCAGAGTTCAAGCCCCATGACCAACCAAGAAAAAAAATTTTCTTGTGGCCTTGTCATAGCTGTGGTCCGCCCTCCCGGCCAGCTCCTCCCGCCAGGCCGCTGGCCGCTGGCCACTGGCTACAGGGCTCTTTAGTGTGCATCGATTGTGGGGTGGGAGAGGGTGCAGGAGTGAGGAGGGCCGTCCTGGGGCTTGAACTCAGGGATTACTTGCTGTTCCTGAGCTTTTTGCTCAATCAAGGCTGGTGCTCTACCACTTGAGCTACAGCTCTACTTACAACCTTTAGGTGGCCGATTGGAGATCAAGAATCTCACAGACTTCCTACCTGGGCTGGATTTGAACCACGATCCACAAATCTCAGCCTCCTGAGTAGCTAGGATGACAGTGTGAGCCGCCGGCACACACGGCTCTGTGGTATGTTTTAGGTTCCTGTTTGGTCGGTGCTGTGACGGCAGTGTCTGGTGACTTGGTGCTTTTCTCTAGCAGAGTGTCCCCTTCCCTTCCCCAGTGCGCGGCCGGTACCGATAGTTCTCCTGCTCTTGGCTTCCAGCTAGAATTTTTATTAAAAAAAAAAAAATGTTCTGAGCACATGGCAAAGCCCCAGCTCCGCCCTCTCCTCTGTCTGCCTTTTGGAGAGTAGGTTGGAAGGTTCCAGAGTTCACAGCCTGGAGACCACTTTTGAAGGCGCTGCTGCCTGGCCGAGCGTGGTGGGCATTGCAGCGGCTGTCAGCATCGCTGCTGGACACTGAACCTGCGCCCCTACGTGGGACCTGCTGCATCCGGCTTCCCGCTCCCCCAGGAGGCCTCCCCCTCCCCCTCTGCTCCTCCGCAGCCCTGTGCTGGAGGGAGAGGAGCCAGAACGAGGGGTGTGGGGCTTCTGGGAGCTGACCAGTGTGCAGTCTTTCCAACCCCGTAGCTCTCCTTTTCTTTCCACACGTACAATGGTCATAAAACCTAATAACGTGTCATTTGCCATTTTAACAGTTTTTGACGGCAAAGCTCTGTGGCACTAGGCCCATTCTCAGGGTTGTGCAGCTACCTTCACTGCCTAGCTCCAGAACTTTCCCACCCCTACCCAGGCAACCTGGTGGAGTAGGGGGTGGGGGAAGGGAGTCTCCAGGGCTCCAGTCAGATCTAGAACTCTCTGATTTGGTGCCAGGGGCCTGAGACGTGGGTGGGGTGGGAAAATGGGTTTCCAGCGGGAACCTGAGGTGGGAATTCTAGTTCTAATTGGTTTATTTGCAAACTCAAATGAATGGAAGCAGAAAGGGCTTGGCGGCTCTGGGGACTGGGAAGCGTGGGGTTGGGCTTTAGGTGTGGCTGATCCAGGCTCCAGCAGACTTGCTGTCTTCTTTCAGTTCTGCGTTTCTCCGGGGTGGGCCAGGCAGCCTCTTGCCAGCGGATGTCCATGCTGCGGTGATGCCTCTAGGTCTGGAGCCCAGGAGAGGCCTCCTCCCTCAGCCTCAGCCATGATTGGCTGCTCAGCTCCTCAGTGGGCCAACACGTGCAGCGCTTGATGCATGCTGTCTGCCAGGGGCTCAGGAGGGGAGGTAAAGTGTTCCCAACACTGGCTGTTCCCGACAACGTGGATGAACAGATCGGGCCACACACAATTAGGGCTTCCGTGGATGTTTGAGGTCAAAAATGCAGGGGCCTGGACTGTAGGCAGTTGCTTGGATGTTCAGAGGGAGTGCTGAGCCGGGGTCAGGGGCCTGGGCCTGTGGCCACTGCCCCTGGCTGGGTTTGGCCCGCAGCTCCGCCCAGAGCGAGCTTGCGCCTGGCCTTGTCCCTCGTTGGGTGCCAGGTGAGCCCGGGTGCGGGGGTCGCAGTGTGAGGACGGCGTGCAGGCGCCGTCCTGCTGCGTCCGCAGGCTCGGGATGGGCCAGCAGGGCACAGCCTGCATCTCACGGCATTTGACCCCAAGGCCCCGGCTCTGCTGCTCTATTGCTGTCATACGTTACCCTTTGATGTTTACTGAGACCTCATACGTTACTGGAGCCGCTTCCTGTGTGCTGCTACTCCGCCTCTCACGTGCCGTCCCAGACGCTGCGGGTTAGGCCGAAGCTCAGCTCCTCACCCTCTTCACCCGAGACTCACGGAACTCGGCTCTTAACCCACGGCCCTAACAGCTGACCCCCACGGACCCCAGGTGTCCTTGTGTTTTGTCTTTTCAGTTTTCGGTGGTACTGAGGTTGACCGCGGGCCTGGGACGGGCGAGGTGGGCCCTCCACCGCACACCTGAGCCTCAGCCCATTTTGCCTTGGTTATTTCTGAGCTAGGGTCTCCCTCGCATGACCGGGTCAGCCTGGACTGCTGTCCTCCTGTTTGGGCTCCGTGGTGTCGCTGGGGATGACATGTACTTAACCACTTCCGTCCTGGAAACTTTTCTTCCTGGGCTGGTCTTGAACCCCTGACCTCCACCTCCCAAGTACCTGGAATTATGGACACTGAAGAGGCTTAGTGTCCTTACACAGACTGCTGTGTGCCACGGGGCTGGAGGACTTGCTGCAGCCCTTCTTGGGCTTCTTTGCCCTTGTGCCCAAGCCAGACAACCCCCACCTCTGGGGCTGCTGGGGGGGGGGCGCAGAGCCGAGAGACACGGCGGTTCTTACTGGACATAGTGCTCCCGCGCGCGCGTTGTACAGCACATGCTTGCTCGCTCGCTCTCTCTCACACACACACGAGCATTGTGCACACATTCACACTCACACAGGTGTGCCCAGATACACTCACATGTGCACACACACACACTCAGCAGCACAGAATGGTGGGACAGAGTGGAAGGGCCTGGAGGACCCGGAGCTGTGGCCTGTGTATGGCGGTCTCAGCTCAGCCGTGGCCTTATCTTAGGAAATGAAAGGCTAATATGCTAAGGGAGGACTCCGTGAACAAACGTGTGTGTCTGTGCCTGGCGCTTGTGAGCAGCTTGGTACACATTCATACCTCCCCACACACTCAGGTGATGTTCTCCGTGGCTTTGACCGCACATGGCTTCTCCCCGTGCTGGGAAACGTGACCTTGAGGGGCCTCCTGTGCAGTATGTCTTTTAGGGGGAGGTGCAGTGACTTTTTCTGTTTTTTACTTGAGATGAAATCCATTTTCCTTAAAACTAACATTTAAAATGGAGGGGTCAGTGGCATTTAGTGTAGTTGTAGAATTGTGCAGGAGACAATCTTACATGTAGCCCAGACTGGCCTTGAACTTGTCACCCTCCCACCTTGGCCTCCTGAGTACTGGGATTACAGTTGTGTGCTACCATGCTTGGATTCAAGATGATGACGTGTGTGTGTGTGTGTGTGTGTGTGTGTGTGTGTGTGTGGCTGCAGCAGCAGTGGTGGTGGTGGTAGTACTGAGGACTTGGTGCCCGCTAGCTGGTGACTTTTATGGTACTGGCTTTGGACTTAAGTAAGCCTTCTAATTGTGTGACACTGGCAGCCACAGCCCGCAGTTCTCATCTCTAAGATGTAAATAATGCTGATCATCCTGTTGGGTATTTTTCAACAGTTTTAATTGGTATAACACGATTAATTTGTCCTCTAGCTCAGTGATTTGTAGTAAATTCGCAGAGTGGTGTAACTTTCACCACATCCAGTCTTAGCACCCTTGGTCATTTCCTGTTCCCAGCGCTTGGTTGCCGCTGATCTGAGTTGTCTTTACAGATTTGCCTTTTTTGGGCATTGCGCATGTGTGGAGCTGGGCAGTAGGCAGCCTTTCATGTCTGGCTGCTTCTGCTCTGCGCTGCTTGGGCGCGTCCGCGTTGTCAGAACTTCCTCCTTTGGGGGCTTCGTAGTACTTCACAGTGTGCATAGGCCTTTTTTTTTTTTTTTTTGGTCATGGGTCTTGAACTCAGGGCCTGGGCACTGTCCCTCAGCTCTGCAGCTCAAGGCGAGCGCTCTACCACTTGAGCCACAGCGCCACTTCCGGTTTTCCGAGTGGTTTATGGGAGATGAGTCTCATGGACTTCCCTGCCCGGGCTGGCTTTGAACCGTGATCCTCAGATCTCAGCCTCCCGAGCAGCTAGGGTGACAGGCGTGAGCCCCCAGCGCCCGGCTTTGGCTACTTTGAACTCAGGTCCTTGAGTGTGCAAGGCCGCGTGTGGCACGGAGGCCCGCCCTCCCGGGCTCGTTAGGTGTGTAATTTTCTAACTCTTGTCGACGTGTTCGCATGCTCGGCAGCTTTCTCTGTGCTCTCTGCCATCCTCCTGAAGTTGCTTTTATTGGCATCTCACCTTGCTGTGTGCCACCGTGGCTCAGAGCTGCCTCGTGAGGCACACCCTGCCTTGCTGTTCAGGCCAGCGGTGTCCACGCGTGGAGGGCTGGTGACCCCCATATCCCTCCCCCCTGTGGCCCTGGCTGTGGTGTTTGTTGAGTGAATACCAACACATATTCCTGCAGTCACTGAGTATGGCTGGAAAGGCCACGTGCTCGCTCCCAGGCTGAGCAGGGACCTGAGCCCCGAACCCCTCAGGGCAAAGGGGGCAGAGCCTGTGGCAAAGGCCACACTGGCTGCTTGAAACCCACCCGTGGGGCAGGGGCTATAAAGCCCAGCTTTTCTTCTTGGTGGTAGGAGGTTGGGGCCGCCCCGCCTGCCTTCCTGCCCTTTCCCCTCACCGCTCCTCCCCCAGGCGAGATGGGTGTTGTAGATAGGAAGTTGAGTCACACCGAGTGGAAAGGGACTTGCCCCAGGTAGCCCAGCCAGGAAATGATAAAGCTTGCCGGGGGCCCATCATCTCCACGGCCTGAGACACCGCCCGGCGTGTCCCCCCTCAGCCTCCAGGCGTGTTCTGGGCTGGAGCGTGCACTGCTGCCAAGTTTTCATTCCGATCCATTGTACGCATCTCGGGCGCCAAGACTTCCTGTGGCGTTGCCTAGCGACGCTGGGGCCGCCCCTTCCTCCTGAACCCAGGCTCTGTGTCTCCATGTTTCCCTGCAGAACTTTGCCAAGGAGTTTGTGATCAGCGATCGGAAGGAGCTGGAGGAAGATTTCATCAAGAACGAGCTGAAGAAGGCAGGGGGAGCCAACTACGATGCCCAGACCGAGTAGCGCAGCCCCGCCGCCCCTCCAGAGCCTTCTGCCGCCCGTTCCTGCTCCACAGGGGGGGACCGCCTCGCTGCCAGCCCACCAGCCCACCAGGGAGAGAAGCCACGAGAGGCCACGCCCACCCATGTCGCACCCCGAGCCCCCCCCAGCCCCTCCTGGCCCCGCCGTACTCCCGTTCACGAAGCTCACGAGCATCTTTCTTGGATCACTCTTTGTCCTTTCCCCTCTGCGTCATTCTAAAGGAAACGCATGTGGATGTCACAGACACACATCATCAGGCTCAGATGTCAGGGTCTCCCGTGGACCCTGCTTTCCCTTCCATCTCTCGCGCACTCACCGTGGCCACCCAGGGCCAGGCCCGGATGCCACCCTGGGCCCCAGGGCAGCGTCCGCCGACTCCAGCCTCATGAGATCCCCTCCTCCCACCCTAGTCCAGCCGTCAGCCCAGACCTTCTAGAATTTGCTTCAGGTTGCCTACGCTCCACATCCAGCAGGCAGTATTGCCCAGTGAAATTCAGGCCTGGCTCAGACTAATAAACGGTAAACATTTGCCTTAAAACTTGCCCGTCGGCGGCACAAGGTGTAAAACCACCCTTTTGGTGGACACCCGGCCTCGACGCGGCGGGTCCAGTGGGGGGCAGCGGAGCCTGGCAGGGTGAGCCTGACACCACGGCCGGCCCGCCAGGAGAGGGACTTGAAGTGGAGAAGTCCCTCGGGAGCCGGGCCCAGGGGCCCCGCTAGCCACCACCCAGGCTGTCTGTGGTGTGAATCCCGGGCCCCCCCATAAAGTGAAAAGCAGAGCTTGGTTTTGCTTGTAAAGAAAGATGAGAGTGGCTTGGTTGTTCAGGAGCACATTTTCCTAGTTTCCTGGGTGTCCCCGCTCCTTTTATTTGGGGGAAGAAAACGTACTGTACTGTACTGGGGTTGTGACGATCATCTCTGGCATTCAAACGGTTTACAGAAATAAATGTTTTTCAAAAAAACCCAGAAAGGTTTGATTTCTCTTCCGAGTTTCTGTACAGTGGAAACAAAGGCATCGGCCTTGTGTTCAGATTTGACAGTCACGCAGGGAGAGGGGGGCCCACAGGGACCTGGTAGATTCCCTGGTTCCTGGCAGGCGCGCCACCACTTGACCACACCTCTAGCCCCTTTTCTACGTTAGCCATCTTTCAGATGGGGTGAGGCTGGACTTGGACCCCAGTTGTCCTGAGTTCTCGGCCTCCGGCCTAGCTGAGATCACAGGCTAACTGGGATTACAGGCATGCGCCGCCACACCCAGCTTGTTGATGGAGGGGAGGAATGGAGTATCTCACTAACTGGCTTTGGTGATCAGCCAGTGTCTGAGCAACAGCCGGGTCTGGCCTTAGTGGCCTTCTGGAAAGCTTACCCCGCATGGTCCATGCCCTCCACAGTCCCTGCCTTGCCTGGGCTGTGGCTGAACTGCTCAGCTCTTCCCTGGGAAGCCTGGGGCCCTGCCCTGGCCTCCCAAGTCGGGAACCTGATTGGTCACTGGGGATCTGTTTGTTTCCCAACCTTGCCCTTCTCTCCAGGGTGCTAGCATGCTGATGGCTCTCCAGGGGTTATGGGGGTGGGGTGGGGGGGTCATCCCGGCCCACTGTGCAGGCCCAATTGGGCAAAAGGCGCCCCTGAGGGTGGACACCCTCCTAGTTCCCCATTCTAGAGAACCACAGAAGAGAGATAAAGAGAACCAGGAAGGTCAGCCAGTGACTCACAGGAACAGGAGCTCTGAGCTAACTGCTTCTTGAGGAACCTTCTGGAAGGTGGAGTGTGCCAAACAGTCCTTCCTAGAAGCTCGATGGTTCCATGCTCTGGGACCTGTGAATGCAGCCTGACTGGGAGAAAGGGAATAATTAAAGATCATTCTGGGCTTCGGGTGGCCGCGCACACCAGGCTGATGTCCGAGGGTCATGTGAGGCTGAGGGAGAGGAGGGACCAGCATGAGGACAGGCAGGGAGAAGGGGACATGAGCAGAGGCCAGGCTCCCGGAGCGAGGAGAGGCAGGAACTGCAGGGTCTGCAGCCGGGCCTGCGTCTCCCCTCCTCTTCCTAGCCACGTGGCGTCGGGATGGAGACCGCCAGCTGTGTGCAGCTGCAAGACTGGCACCCGCCACCTGGTCTCCCTCGCTTCTCCCTCCGGGGAGCCCGTGTTCAGTAAATGATGGGGGGGGGTGAGTGGCAGTGAGCGGGGCTTCCCTCGAGCCCCCAGACCCGGGCAGAGGCCAGGGGCTTCGCTCTCATTCCTGCCACTGCACCTGAGCCCCGTCCAGCCCCTTTTCCAGGGATCTGAGCACGGTGGTTCTGTGGCCTTTTTAATGATCTGTGGGGTGTTGCGATGGCCACGGCCCCCCTGTAGCCCAGCCACCACGGGGCTAGGTCCACAGGCTCAGCAGATGGCAGGTGTCAGACTTTAGTCCCCTCTGAGCAGGGCCAGCGGGGCAGGTGCTCCCCAGAGGCTGAGGGTGCGGTGGGTGGGTCTGGGATGGAGCCGGAGGACGGGGCTCGTCTGTCTCCCTGGGCCAAGGGGCTGGGAGCACACTGGGAACAGTTTACCAAGAGAGCCAGGGCAGGCTGATGGCCTTTCCTTGCCCCTTGGCTCTTCCCCAGGATTTCCCATGTGGATGTCACTCTGAGGCTGTGGGAAGCGCAGGCTGGCAGCCACCAGCCCTCCACCAGATTGTGCAACACAGGTGGGTACCAGGGCAGCTGGGCGATGGGCACAGCAGGGCCCGGGTACTGTACCTTCAAAGCAACTCTCCCGAGGCTGCTTATGAGCATGCACACGAGCAGAAACACGGCCCTCGGGAGGAACCAACACCAGGAAACGCAGGCGGGAAGACTCCTGCCCAGAGACTCTCACTGGTCCACCTGGCCTCGGTCCTGGAACAGGGGAAATACCTGTACCTGCCCTGAAACGTTGGCATCTGTGGTGGGAGTGGACTTTGTTGGATTATTTTCCTGTGTGTTTGGAATATAGAAGTTTTAGTAAACAAGCCCAGTGCTGGTGGCTCATGACTGCAATCCTGGCTTCTCGTGAGGCCGAGGCCGGGAAGACCATGAGTTTGGGGACTTCTGAGCTGACAGAAAGACCCTGACTCAAAAAAAAAAAAAAAAAGGCTTTGGTGCTGGGCAGGTGGCGGCTCATTGGTAGAGCGCTTGCCTAGCATGCATGAAGCCCTGGGTTCCATTCCTCAGTACCACATACACAGAAAAAGCCAGAAGTGGTGCTGTGGTTCAAGTGGTACAGTGCTAGCCTTGAACAAAAGAAGCTCAGGGACTGTGTCCAGGCCCTGAGTTCAAGCCCAGGACTGGCAAAAAAAAAAAAAGCCTTGTATCCTGGTTAAGTCTTGCCACATTTGCAGATCAGATTATTTTCCCCAGACTTTTAATTCAGTGTATTTGAGACCATGCTCTTCATATTTTTATGAATCTGCTCTTGTCACAATCAGTGCACTGTGAACGCTTTCTCCCATCCCTGAATGCTAGTCATTTATTTCCCAAGAGAGGGAGGAGGCCGACCTGGAACTCCAGATCCTCCTGTCTCAGTCTTCCGAGGGCTGGGATCACAGGTACACGCCGCCAGGCCCAGCTGTTAATCCCTTTTGGTGACTTATATCGGATGTAGTTGTTCAGCCACACTTTGGCTTGATACAGAGTTGGAGCTGGCAAGCTGCTGACCCACAAGGCAGATTTCACCCCACATAGGCACACGCACACACATTTGCGCAGTGTACAATGCACAGCGCTAAGAGGCCCTGGCATCCTCCGAGCTAGGCAGTGGGCCACCAGCATTAGGGTGCCTGGAACCCCACCTTGCATGTCAAAGTGGGTTGCCAGCATTTGAATATGGAAAAGATTTTGCATATAAATTCAGCTCGCAGCCGGGCGCTGGTGGCTCATGCCTGTAATCCTAGCTACTCAGGAGGCTGAGATCTGAGGATCGCGGTTCAAAGCCAGCCCTGGCAGGAAAGACCGTGAGACTCCTATCTCCAATAAACCACCAGAAAACCGGAAGTGGCGCTGTAGCTCAAGTGGTAGAGCGCTCGCCTTGAGCTGAAGAGCTGAGGGACAGCGCCCAGGCCCAGAGTTCAAGCCCCACGACCGACAAAAAAAATAAAATAAAATAAATAAATAAATTCAGCTCGCAACTTTTTTTTTGTGATGGTCCTCTAGCCCACATCGCCCACTGAATTTCCTTGCTCTCCTTTTATTAGCTGCTTCTTGTTAGCTGTCTGGTTCCTGAAAGCATCTGAAAGTCCCACCCCAGACACCTTTAAAGATCTGTTGACTGAAGGGAAGAATCCTTCCCCCCCCCCACTCCCCCCTGCCAAAGCCACAGCAGTCTAGACAGAAAGAAGATGTGGACCCCATTTCGTGGAAATAGCCCAGATGGGGAGTTGCTATGGCAACGCTGGACCACATTGTAGCTTGCTTCAGGGATGATCGCCGAGCATCCTCCTGGAGGCCGTGCCCCTCCCCCAGCCCGCCAGTCCCAGGTGGCAGCTCCCAGCATGCATTTCATCCCAGGTGCTGCTGGGCGGGGCTGGGGAGGCAGCTTGGAGAGCCGCATTTACCTGGAGAATGGCAGGTTCTCGCCTTTCCCACGGAGGATCCCTTTATCATTTTCCTCTCCCTGTGTCCGGTATTTTGGAGCAACTGGCTGCCCTGCAGGTTGATTTGGGAGGTGCAGATGCATTTTCTCATTGAAGAAGAAAACCATAATGCATAGTAGGAACCAGTGTGATGACTTTGTGGTTAAGTATGTGGGTTCTAATCCTGACTCTGCCATTTCCTACATGTATAACATAACGGTGGACAGGCTATAGAACCTCTCTGAACCTCAGTTTTATGGCCTTTCCCCCACTTCCCCTGTACTGGGGCTTGAACTCAGGGCCCGGGTGCTGTCCCTGAGCTTCTTTTGCTCAAGGCTAGCCCACTACCACTTGAGCCACAGCTTCACTTTGTCTTTTTTAATTTGTTTTTTAAATTTGGTAGATAAGTATGTCATGGACTTTCCTGCCAGGGCTGGCTTCACACCTTAATCCTCAGAACTCAGCCTCCAAAGTAGCTAGGATTACAGGCATGAGCCACCAGCACCCAGCTTTGTCTTTTTAAAACAATATAGCAATTGTCTGCCTCTTTTCATTGCTACAAAGTGTCCGGTGTGCTGTAGCATAATGTCTGGCCGAGCGCTCAGGACCAGCCTGGCAGGGCTCATGGTGCAACCATGCTGAGGCTCAGACAGAGGCCTGAGGCCCCCTGCTGCGGCCCACGGGCACCATCCTGGGAGACTGGATGGGTGGGGAGGGGCTGGCACAGAGCCTCCCCTGGTGCCTGGGACTATGGGCATGTTGTGGGGCCTTGTGGCTGACTCCTGCCCATCTCCAGCCCCGGTTCTGTCCCCCTGTGGTGTATGCAAGGTCCCTGGTCCTCGCCCCTCCAAGTGCTGTAAGCAGTTATGTTGAAACATCATCAGCGGGCACTGGAGGCTCACGCTGTCATCTTAGCTTCTCAGAAGGCTGAGATCTGAGGATTGGGGTTTGAAGCCAGCCTGGGCAAGAAAGCCCATGAGGGTCTTCAGTTAATCACCAAAAAACCCCCAAAACTCCAGAAGTGGATCTGTGGCTCAAGTGGTAGAGCACAATAGCTCAGGAACAGCACCCAGGCCCCAAGTTCTGGCCTCAGGACTGGCACGCGTGCGCGCACACCCAGGCACATGCGCATGACTGTCTTTGGCCCTCTGAGGGGCTGAGAGCCCTGGCCCCCCGCCCCCGGCCTCGGCAGGTGAGGAGTAGAGGTGGAGGCTGAGCAGTGAGGAGAGGTGGGGGTGGGGGTGGGCACGGCGCCCTGCAGCGAGGGGCCTGTGTTCCCAGAGCGTCTGGCTCTCAGGAGAAGTCCAAACGGGGAGACTTACCAGCGTGCGGCTCTGAACACGCTCTCTTTGTTCTGAGCACCAGAGGAGCGGGGTGC